ACCCCACAATTTCAACATTACAGCTATGGTTGTTTAGATTTTCTTTAGATCCAATCCTTTTTGCATCTGGGAAACTCTCCTGAGATTACTTTCCTTTTTCCCTACAGCTAGGTCTTTTAGAAATTCTTTTAGTGAGAACGTGTTGGTGGAAAACACACTCAGCTTTTGTATGTCTGAAAATGTCTATTTCGCCCTCGCTTCTGAAAAATAGTTTTGTTGGGTATACAATTCTAAACGGACTTATTTTCTCCGGGCATTCTGCAGATATTTGTCTACTCTCCCTTGGTTTTCATGGTAGCTGTTGAAAAGTCATCTGTTTATCTGATCATTGTTCCTTCATAAATAAGTCTTTTCTCTCTGGCTGCTTTTAGCGTATTTCTCTGGTGCTCATCACTTTCTCTATGATGTATTCATGTGAGAATTTCTATATACTTGTCTGCCTGGAATTTGTTCTGTTTCTTCAACCTGTGAATTCACATGTTTAATCAATTTTAGTAAATTCTCAGCTAGGATTTCTGATCAGACAACCTTGTACCTTCTCTCTGTCCTCCATGTCTTAATCTCTCTTTTACAGTGTCTTTTTTTTTTTTTTAATTTTTATTTATTTCTGAGAGAGGACAAGCAGGGGAGGGGCAGAGAGAGGGGTACAGAAGATCCGAAGTGGGCTCCCCACTGACCAGCTGACGGGCTGACAGCAGCAAGCCTGACGCAGGGCTCAAACTCACTAACCAGCTCGTGGCCTGAGCTGAAGTCAGACACTCAACCAACTGAGCCACCCAGGTGCCCCTTAATCTCTCTTTTATAAATGCCATCTCATTTTCCTCCATTTTATATTCTGCACATTTTCCTCAAACCCATCTCTCAACATGTTAATTCTCTTTAGCTACATCTCATGTGCTAGTAAACCAACTACTGAGTTTATAATCTGAATTACTTTTTCAACTTCTAGAACTACTATTGGTTCTCTTTCAAATCTGTCCATTTTGTAGCACGCTTTTTTTTCCTTAATATTACCATCAAAGCTCTGTTTAATTTTAAAGACCATATCAACATTTATATCATATTTCAGACCTAATAATTCCAACAGTCTCTACAGGTCTAATTTTGCTATTTGTTGTTTCCACGTCTTTCACTCATGGAGACTTGCTTCTTGGATGTTGTGATCATTGACAATTAAGACCATGTCTGTAAAACTTTCTTCGGTACTTCTTTATGGTCTAGGTAACAGTTTATTCTTTCAAAGAGGATTTACATTTGCTTTTCCTAGGCACCTGGGAATACTATCAACTCAGTACGACTGTAAACTAAATTCCTACCTATTTTTTGTTCTTTGGGATTACACAAATGTGTACAAATTCAAGCTGCAAACCCGCATGATGCCTGGCTTATGTTGTGAATGCTCAGGGAACGCTTTTATTTATTTATTTTTTCCCTTCACCCAGAGCCAATGCTGAGGCAGAAAAATTTCCTCTGCACCTCCCTTTGCAGACTGGATTTTTTTCTTTTTTCTTATTTAGTGGTTTGCTAAGCAGTAGCCTTTTCTACCTCTCGGGAGTCTTAGATGATGTCCCTCATACCAGGCATGGAAATGCTAAGTCCAAAGAACCTGCTCACAATCTACTGGTACATTTCCCCAGAATAACCTTTGCCTTCAAGGGGCTTATTTATTCTCTAGATTCCTGTTCTGTTTTCCTTTTGGATTCCAAGGATTTTTCTTCTTCTTACAAGCTGACCTATACTATTTAATAGACTTTCTTTAGAGGTTTTTATCCAGCACTTTAGGGGTTTAAAAATGAGGAAGATTTTCCAAGATATGCAAGCTGTCATCTTATCAGAAAGAGAACATAAACTGCCTTTCTATTTCTACTTATGTATTTGGAATATACTGCCAAATATAAAATTGACAGATCAAGGAACAGAATTAGTTTCATGGTTTTTTGTTACATGTTATAAAATTCAGCGATGAAAATTAATTAATATTACATGTTAATAGTGGCTTGAGGAGATCTGTAGTTTCCATGCCTATTTTGCTTCAGAGAGGTTATCTACTAATATTAAATAAAAGTTTTTTGGCTTTGACCATATTTGGAATAAAACAGGATCTTAGTCTGATTTTCATAACTTATTTACTAAAAGAACAGCTGCAAGTGTTGATAAGGTTGTGGAGATATTGAAACCCTCATACACTGCTGGTGGGAATACAAAATGGTGGGAATGTAAAATGATGTGGCCATTTTAGAAAACAGTCTAGTAGTCCCTCAAGAAATTAAACATAGAATTATCACATGGAATAGCAACCCACTGCTAAGTATGTACCCAAGAGAAATTAAAACACATGTTCACACAAAAACTTATACATGAATGCGCACAGCAGCATTGTTCATAATAGCCAAAAGGCAGAAACAATCCAAAAATCCCATTGACAGATGAATGGATAAACAAAATGTGGTATATCCATATAGAGGGATATTATTAAGCCATGGAAAGGAAAGAAATACTGATACATGCTACCACATGGATGAATCTATAAAACATTATGCTAACTGGAAGAAGCCAGACACAAAAGACCACAAATTATATGATTCAATTACATGAAATATCCAGAACAGGCAAATATAATGTATAGAAGTAGGTCAGTGGTTGTTTAGGGCTGGGAGGATGGCAAGCTTGGGAAGTTATAGACAAAGGGTTCATAGTTTCTTTCTGAGGTAAGGAAAATGTTCTAAGACTGGCTGGGGTGATGGTTGCACAGCTCTGTAAATATACTAAAACCACTGACTTGTACACTTTAAATGGATGGACCATATGGCATGTGATTATATTGCAGTAAAGCGATTAGAATAAAAAACATGCAGATAAAACAAATTCTGTGGCTATAACATAAATTGACCTGAAAAAGCCTTTGACAAAATGGCACAAACTATTTCTAAGGAAATTCAGTCACCATACAGTTGTGACCTTTCTTCTTCTTCGAGGAGATACTGCCTTTGAAAGAGGAAACAAATGTTAAGAATAAACGACATTATTTTGATATTTTGCAAGCATGATTTCTTAATGATATGGTAGGGTGAGGCTAGTTTGTTTTAAAAATACATCTTTACAAATGATCTGGTGGAGAGAATGCACAGTAAACTCTCCCAAGTTGACAATTATACTAAACTCTTCCTGACAATAAAATATTTAGCTGATGAAAATAAATTATAGGGCTTATGCACTGGCAGCTGTAAAGGCTGGCTCTATACAATATGCTGAACTACTCAGGAAAATCATGAAAAGCTTATATGGCAAGGCCCTAGGCATGACAGCTCAATACCGAATGACCTAAAGACAAATTGCATACGTGGTATGCGAGGGCAGTGGCTGGGACTGATCCTGGAAGCCCAGGAGAAAGGACTTTTCTCCTGCTAAAAGGCTCGGCACTTAGGAATCTATGGGCAGATGCCTTCCTGCGGACAACGGCGGGTAAGAGGCTGGGAATCTAGGAAGGCATACAGGCCCCTGAGAGTGTGAAGCTAAACTTTAGTGGAGAAGAAAAATAGTCTGTTTTCTGAGGCTCTCCCTCCCCTTCCAGGAAAGAGACAATAGGGCCTGTCGAGACTGCAAAAATAAAGAGTTAAAATCCTCCTTTTCATCCCTACCTTAAAGATGGAAAATGAGAGTCCCAAGTTCTCACAGTGGCATACCTACAGAGCAACACATCCCAGAGAGAGAGCTGAAGAGACCAGGTGCGTTCCTGGCAAGACCAGCTGTGTAAATGGTGGGCCGACTGCAGAATGACAATGTGGCGTGCCCTGTTCATGAATTACTTAGAATCTCAAGACAGTGAAAGCAGAGCATTAAACCTAACATGGGGCTCTTCTGAGTGTGGGGGTCTCTGCAACTGCACAGGCTGTACGTCCAAGAGGCCCTGACTCTTGAGCAGCAAGCATGGCAGCAGCAAAAATCCAGGAGGCACAGAAATGTATAAGGCAAAAAACCAAGATCGTCCAAAATCCTACCACCTGGGACAACCACTGTTATCATTTTGGTGATTTTCCAGAGAATTTTCTATATTCATATATACTGCTGACCCTTCAACAACAGAGGTTTGAACTGCATGAGTCCACTTATACATGTAATTTTTTTTTGATAAATACAGTATAGTACTGCAAATATATTTTCTATATCTTATGATTTTCTTAATAACATTTCCTTTTCTCTAGCTTTCTTAATTGCAAGAATACAGCATATAATACATATACAAACTATGTGTTAATCAACTGTTTATGCTATCAGTAAGGCTTCTCGTCAACAGTAGACTGTATTACTAGATAAGCTTTGGGGGAATCAAAAGTTACCCACAGATTTCCAACAGTGCAGGGGTTGGCACCCGTAACCCCCTGCATTGTTCAAGGGTCAAGTGCACATGTAGACATTGATTCATACAGAAATGGTATGTTGCACACTCTCGTCTGTAGCCTTTTTTTGAGCTTATTAAGCTTCTTACATTATGGAGAATTTTCAAAACTGTTAAAAACACATCATTTCAATCCTATTGTCTAAATTACAAAACATAAAGATCCCTGTTCAATTTAACCAAACTCAAACCTAACTTTTGTTAGGTTTCTGAAGGGTCTTGCGTTTTTCGTTACTAACAATGATGACCAGTGGATATGAATAAAATGGAGTGAGGACTGAATGAGTTAATCAGCATAAAGTATTTCACAGAGTACTTGGCAAGTAACAAGCTCTCTATAAATTTTAGGGATTTTAGTATTGTGTCCTATGTAAAGACTGAACTAATTTACATTCCCAACAGCAGGGTAAAAGAAATTGGTTTTCCTAAATCCCTGCCAATTCTTCCAAATTTTTCCTTTTGTATTGTTTCTATGAATCGTTTGTTTGTGCTCTTTGACAGTTCTCCCACTGGATTCCTTACGCTTTTAAAATTTTAACTGATTTCTGTATTGGAGATACCAATCCTTTGTCATAGGAGTAACAAATGCTTTTTTAAGACTTACCTCCAGTTCCTAGGACCTTGAGGAGCTCAAAATTTTCAATCCCCACCTTCTCAGCATGTCCTGTTAAATTAGCTAAAAAAAGAAAGAGAAAAAAGAAATAATTAAGGGGGTCAGGAACAGGAGGGGGCCCTTGGGGGCTTCTGAAATACCAGCAATATTTTATTACTTGACTTGGGTAGTTAAGCCAGGGTTCACTTTATAATTATTTGTTAAACTACACAGCTATGTTTGTATACTTCTCTGTATGTTATATATTACAGGAAAACTTTTAACATGTATTTATTAGAGAGAGAGAGATAGAGAGGGAGAGAAAGAGAGAGCACAAGTGGGGAAAGGGCAGAGGGAGGGAGACAGAGTATCTGCAGCAGGTTTTGCACTGTGAGCACTGAGCCCAGTGTGGGGTTGGAACTAACCAACCGCGAGATCATGACCTGAGCCAAAATCAAAAGTCAGACCTGAATAAAATCTAAGATCTCTGCCAGCTCTAAAATTTGTTTGAAAGTATTAACTCTTTAAAAACATATTCTGGGGGCGCCTGGGTGGCTCAGCTGGTTAAGCGTCCAACTTCAGCTCAGGTCATGATCTCACAGTTCGTGGGTTCA